GCCTACAAGGGTCAGTTTACAGGGTTCGAAATATAGGCAGCAACCACTGAACCAGCTCAGTCCTGCTGCCTACAAGGGTCAGTTTACAGGGTTCGAAGGTAAGTGCAGCGAGCAGCTCAGTTTTGCTGCCCGCTCTCAATGTTGGCAGCAAATACTTGCTGCTAAGAAATTCGAAATAAACCGTGCAGTAAAAGTGCTCAGCAAAGATTCTGCCTGGGTGAGTGAATTTGCTGGGCCTGCTTTTATTCTCTGGCAGCAATTACCTGTTGCCTGGTAAAGAAGTTGTGGATTTTTATCCCTGCAGTATTAGGTTATAATACCAGTGACATAGCTAGAGAGACATATATGGGAATCATCCCTCCCCCTACCCCTTCTCCCCGTAACACCTCCCCCCTCCTTACCACCACCATGCCTCTCCCCTCCTCCTCCACAGTCCTCTGTGCCTCTGTTCGACTTCCCCCCCTCCCCATCGCTGTTTTTGCTCGGCACGCACGCAGGTTGATGGTTCGATCCCAAGTCGCAACCCTGGATTTTCACGATGGCCTCATGATTAGCTAAGGTTTACGAGTTCCGGTTACGTAGCCGGTTAGGGTTAGGGCTAAGGTTAGGGTTAGAAGTTAGGGCTAAGGTTAGCATTAGGGTTAGAAGTTAGGGTTAGGGTTAGGATTAGCATTATGGTTATGACTAAGATTCGGGTTAGAAGTTATGGTTAGGAGTTGGGGCTAGCATGAGGGTTAGGGTTATGACTAAGGTTAGAGTTAGGAGTTGGGGCTAGCATTATGGTTGAGGTTATGACTAAGATTAGGGTTAGGAGTTCGGGCTAGCATTCGGCTTAGGGGTTAGGGTTAGGGGTTAGGGATAAGGTTAGGGTTAGAGATTATAGCTAGTATCACGGTTAGGTTTTAAACTTTAGGGTTAAGGCTTAGGATTAGAGTTAGGGCAAGGCTTAGGATTAGAGTTAGGGCAAGGGTTTGGGATAGGGCAATGTTGGGAATGAGGATAAAATACCGGCAGGCCAAAGCAGGACTAATTCCAGGAGTAGAAATAAGGAGAAAAAAAGAGATGGTCCACGGGACCATCTAGTTTGAAATTTAGATGGTCCTCCTAAATTTCAAATTGTTCTCTAAAAGTTATGCGGTGTGCAAGAAATTTACCGTAAAATGGGACCAAAATATTCAATGGTCCGTCGGACCATTGGCTTTAAAAATCTTATGGTCCTCCTGATTATTTGATGGTCCCGGACCATCGGACAATCGCTTATTTCGACCCCTGAATTCATTGCGACATTCCATGCATTCGTTCAGCTAAGGAGCAACAGGCACGGTGGCCCCGGTACACCACAAATAGCGGTCCGCGGCCATACAATCCGGCACTGGGTAACCTTTGAGCAGGACTGACCGACTTTTATAAGTTTTACCATAGATTATATAGTAGCAGTGTTAGAAACAGCAGACCATCCCACCTTCCCTGACCGATGACCGCTGATAACGACTGGCTTATTTGGATAGATTTTACTAATTAGGCTACGCACGGCAGCAAAGACAATTTTTCGAAAATCAGGACCGGTCGGGGTTTCGAGACTCGTCTGCCGAAACTGATTTACATATATGCTAATTAGATCCTCACACGTCGTGTCACGCACTTCGCAGCACGCACGTCGAGGGTTAGAGAGATCTACGCAGAATGACTCAAGTCTGTGTCATTGCAGTGCAAGGCCTGTAGAGGCACGAAACATGGAGAGAACAACGAGGAAACGTCTATAAGGGATATTGGGTAACACTGGGTTGGAGGCGACCCTGGTGGGGCCAGGTGATCGCGGGGGGGGGGGGCCAGGCTACAGCGACATGAGCCGCATGCGAAAGCAACACGTGGCGTGATCGTGAATATCACGAACCACCTCACGAACTAGTTCTCGCAGGCAGCGCTGCAACAACCGACGCTCCCACACCGCCGCCGCTGCTACGCCGCTACGTGGGTTACTAGGTATGTGGCCCACCATCGTCAAATCCACCTCCTACTCTCATTCTCTCTCAACCTTAGTTTACGTAAACTGCCAGCCCACCTTTGACTCTCATTCTCTCTCAACCTTAGTTTCCGTAAACTGCCAGCCCACCTTTGACTCTCGTTCTCGCTCAACCTTAGTTTCCGTAAACTGCCAGCCCACCTTTGACTCTCGTTCTCGCTCAACCTTAGTTTCCGTAAACTGCCAGCCCACCTTTGACTCTCGTTCTCTCTCAACCTTAGTTTCCGTAAACTGCCAGCCAACCTTTGAATCTCATTCTCTTTCAATGTTAGTTTACGTAAACTGCCAGCCCAGCCTACAGCTATGGAGCACAACAAGGGGAGGTTACCAGTTACCATTACTTTTTTGTTTCGGTAGTTGTGTAGCTAGGGAGGTGTGAGCACACAAGAAAATCCACACCCACGCACGCACATACACACGCACGCATGCACGCACACACCAACGCAACCGAGAATTTTCGTCTACAGCAATGACCAGGAATGGCCACCCGACTGACTGTACTGACACTAGCAGGGTGCGAAATTAACGAGAGTCCGGCGTCAAATACTCCCCGATTTACTGTCGGACTCCCTGATTTGACATATATGCAGGAGTCCGTGTGACTCCCTGAAAATTCTGCCATACTAACTAGTTCGTTCCAGAGCACGGCCTTGCGGAATTACCGTATCTTTTCAGCAAATGTCCAAAGAAAATTTGGCAGACGTGCAACCCGCACGACTCTTCAACATAAGCACATGCGTTATTGTTAATATCTTTAATTTTGAACTTCAGACTACAGACTCCCTCATTTTGCCACGGACTCCCTCTTTTTGAGGGCAAGGAGTCCGTTGGACTCCCTTGTTCAAAAGTTAATTTCTACCCTTGCACTAGGGCCCAAGTCTAGAAGACATGTCCCACAATACTTGGTCGTCACGTCGGGCAAGTGCATTAGATGCACGAGAACGATTTTGAATCGAGGAATGTTAATCCTAAGATTAACACTAACACACATCTAACGCGTACATGAATACATGATAATACAAGCGTGTGACGGGGGTTTATCAACACTGTTTCGTCTTATCTCTACTCACTGATCCCCCAACGATCAGTGGCTGTGGAGTGAGCGTGTGCATGTGATAAGTAAATAATCGAATGGCAGAATCGAAGCACATCTCTAGGTGCTAGTTAGTGGTGGATGTATACCTTTCTCTCCGGTGTAATGATTATTTGCTTCATCTTCGCGGCTCACTTGGGTGATTATGGACGATCCGTCCATCGATTACGACTCGCCTGCCTCCGGAGTCACATCCAGCAATGGCGCAAAACGAAAAACCTACACACGCACGCGAGAGAAACACACCACCACTCCAGAGATACAGATATTCCAAGATGGACGATTGACAACAAATATGCGAACTGGAAAACTGGCGGGTTTTCAAGGTCAATCTATCTTTCGACGGCGCCGATACATGTACGAATGCACTCGTAAGAGTTAACTTGGGTTACCGCCGACGGAATCGCTATCAAATATGAGTTAGACAACGCGGTTTCAGACGACACAGCATGCATAAGCAGCTTTTGATCATTCTCGCTTTTGTTATGTTAATTACAGATGATCATCTTCCGCCATCTAGCGGAAAATAAAACTCACAAATATGTTTACATTGCACTGGTCATGTATGTGAATGTAAATATGACCGAGATAAAGTTCTTTACATTTGTTATTTTGCATGAATTTGACTGGTAAGTAGCTAAATATTTTAAACAACAGAGTAGTGATGAGCGCCGTCATAATATATCATTATAAACACTAGATATGTGATGTGTTGTTTGGCCAGGCGCTTTTTCTGACATCGCCCCGCCATCTAGTGACAGAATAAGTTTAGATTCATGTCATCTGATATTTTCATAGAAAATTAAACTCATGGACAAGGCATGAAAAACATTTATCTTACCCTGGGTTGTAGTTGTGTCTCTGTGGAGCATTATCGCACTCGGGAAGAAGGACCAGTCTATATGCATATCAGGAGTGGCTGCCCTGGAGACTTTATAACCAACCCACTTGCCTTTGCAATAGTGTTGTTTACTGTATACGATATTATCGTCATTTTAAAATAACAATAGTGATGCGTTCATAAATATATTTGAACTGGAAATGTATTCGTTAATAAATATCTTATACACACGTGTATTCCTATTATATCTTTTACTGTGTCCATGTTTTTATATTAATCAGCTTTGTTAATTAATTTGTCACATTGATATATACAAATTTTCAAAATGCAATTTCCATTAGTGTAAATCGAGTGATTAATATCAAATTGAATCAAATATTATAGTTCTCTGATGGGTGCGATGTGCCTCACACTAATAATCCTACATCGGTTTAGAACCTTCTTTGTCGTTTATTCGTGTTACAGTTATTATCGGCAGCTAAGTTAGCCGAGAGACCAATTATCGAGCTAAATCAGTTTTGGCAGCAGATTCCAGAGCTTGGGAACAAGTTACGGCAGCTTTCCTACACTGGTGAGTAATGTAGTGCAAGGAGCTGTTTGTGTGCATGTGTAGTATATATATATATATACGTATGTGTGGGCTCCTTGGTGTAATGCATCAACGACGAGTTATTGAAGTCTATCCCATTTTGTTTCCTGGTGATTGCAGCGCGACGAATCGCATTGCATGCTAGATGTATTTCGTGTGCGAGGCCCAGCACCACCGACATGTTGATCACAATGACGCTGCACGAGTTCCAATAGCACTTCAGCAAATCTGTTTATTAAATTTTATACAGTTTTGAAAACCATGATATTAATGTTATGCAGAAAAATCGGTGGGTTGTTTTTAGAAATAATTAGTCATAATAGTATACTATCGTATCCCCCCAAGAAAAATCCACGAAACAAAACTAACATCACCGATAAAACATTTCTGACAACGACCCCTGCGATACCACGCCTCTCCCACACCGCAGAACAAAACACCAGAACAATGCGAATAAATGTGCAAGATAGATCATAGATTTTTACTTTCTCGTCACTTTACTTCCACATCACCTGCTTCAGGTATGCTTTTTCTTGCTTTTACACAAACTATGCAATCTTTACGTCGGGCGACCTCCAGGGCCCCCTGGCCCTCCCGGTCCACCGGGACCTCCTGGCTGCCCTGGCCTCGCTCCCTGACCCTGCATAAGAGGAGAGAGAGAGAAGGAATGAGCCAGAAGAGATAAGAGAGAAGAGAGAAAGAAGATGCCAGGGGAGAGAAACACACGAGATGAAAACACTGAATGGCAGCTGTATTTAAAACGAGTGGAATGGAGAAGGGCGAGTGTGTGAGACATCAAAACATTTCAACTTCTTAAAGGTGCCAGTAGACAATCGGGTGAAACAACGTTTTTGAAATCTGGACCGCTCGGGGTTTTTAGACTGTTCTCTAAAGTACTACTTTAGACTGCGACTAAAAGACTGCGATTTCTAAAACTGGTAATTACATCACTTCTAGACCTGCAAACTCTGATAAACAGGAGCAGCCATCGCAGTATCCGGTAATCAGGTACAACGAAGATTTATTACAAACCAAGAACTAACTGATCAACACGCCAAACGTTAGCGACGAGCCTAGTGGCGACACCTACCGGGGGACGGAACCTCGGGGGCGGAGTCCTGTCCTTGCGCGCTTCCTTAGACCTGTTCCTGACAACCTTGGAGTGGATTGCGCATGAGACGCAGTAGTGTAGCTTTGTATACAGCTTCGGCAGAACATACGCTGAAAAAAATATTGTGGAGCATATAATACATGAAGGGAATGTATGCTGTGTGTGTGCGCGCGCGCGTGCGTGCCTGCTTGCATCTCTCTCTCTGTTTGCGCATGCCCGGGTGTGTGTTGGCATGGATACGTGGACGTTCGCGCACTAACTATCCTAGCCTGACAGAAGTAGCAACAATATTCAAAAGGGGGCGTGGTTAACCGGACACGTTTTGCCCGAACGTATATGTAAGTTGTAGTTAGTGGCCTAGTGCAATACTAGCTCGTCAACACAGCTTTAACGCACCGCACTAATGGAGTTGAAGTTGGATTTTATAACTCTACACAGATATTCTCTCCATTAGTGCAACACTTATTCATGCTGCCTCAATGCACTCCATTAATGTAGTTGAAGTTAGAGGCTGCAACACTCTACTATAACTACCTACCATATACTAGGCTGTAGTTCTACATGTGTACTATCTCTCTTTCTGCTCACACAATACTTACTCCAGTTGGAGGCAGTAACTTTCTACTACTATCTACTATAGCTGTAACTCTCTACTACTATCTACTATAGCTGTAACTCTCTACTACTATCTACTATAGCTGTAACTCTCTACTACTATCTACTATAGCTGTAACCCTCTACTACTAT